ATGTTAGTGGTACACTAACAAAAATTAAAAGACATATCTCTAGTGTAAATGCTAAAAAAATTACGCTGACACATTCAATCTTTGTCAGCATTGCAGCAACAAATCATCAACAAATGTATTTATATACTAAAATATTTTAGGTAATAAAGGGTTAATTTATAGTAACATAAAAATGTATTCCAAACATAAGGTGAAGTACAGTATACAGGGTATCCAAGACATGGCAACCTTCGAGAAGACGTAGAATGAATTGAGGTGAACAAAAAATCCTGTATCATCTGTGTTAATAACACGCAAAATGTTCGAGTCTGGACACCTCATATACTTCCACTTGTAAAAGAAACATTATCAAAATGTTGAAAAATTAAAATATTGAAAAGTAATTTTGATTCGAATGATTTTGTTCCATTAAATGTAATTGCTCCATTATCGACATGTTCGAAAGGTGAAATATTGGTGAAAATTTATTGGAGTTCCCCGTCTTTCAAATGTTACTGAAGAAGATTAATGTTCAAGAACATCAAGCTAACTAAATATATAAAAAACGATGTAACAGTGAAATAAAAATAAAAAAATGAATAATTTCATTGATTACTTTTAATTAGAGATTGATAAAATATAGGCAAAGTCAAAATAATAAAAATATAATTGATATTTTTGAAGAAAGATTAATAAAGAACTAATATTATTAATTTAATAATTGTTTTTTTAATAAATCAACCTTTAATTGTGCCTCTTCTTTTTGCAACTTTAAAATATCTATTTCAATTTGATTTTTTTGTTGTATATGGGTTGCCTTAATTTCCTCCATTTCTATCTGCTTGTTCACCAATTCTATTTTTTTATCAGCAAGCACTTCAAATCTAGCACTAGTTGCAGATTTACTTGCTTTATGAGACAAAGATGGTCGTCTTCTACTGCTCCATAAATTGTTGCCTAAAATATATATATATATATATATATATATATTTATTTATTTATTAATTATATTTCTTTTTCATATTTCTAGTATTTACCATTAACTGATTTTTCATTGAAATTATTTTGTTCATGTATTATGATGGATGGGCTAGCTGATGTCTTTTCAGTCTCAAAGTGTTCCTCATTGCTACTCGGATTTGCATTTTCAGAGATAATAAGTGCTTCATGGACTGGTGTCTTTAACATTTGAGAAATGGAGTTACTCTAATTTACCTCCACAATATCATCTCCTGAACATGTTGTTGGTAGAACAGTAGTAGTTTCATCCGGTAAATCAATTCCAACAATTCCTAATATTTCAAAAGAATTCAATAAGAATAGAATTTATATGTAAAAGCTAATTTATAGATTAATGGTAGCAATAATAATTATTGTAATTGCGTTAACCACAGTTTAATGTAACAATTATTTCTAGAGTTATGGCAAAGATAATAACAAACTTTAGCGCTAATTTGTAATCATATATAATTTTTTTAATTATTTATATCCACATTGTAGTGATTAATTAAATATATTATAAATCATTTTTTATATGTAACAATTGATTTACCAGCCAAACCATCAGAATCGAACGTGTTTGTCAATCCTTCAACACTGACTTCAATTGTTTTTAATAATTCGTTCTCCTCTTCTGTGTTTGCAGCAGGTGGAGATATATATTGTCCTCCACCTGTGCCTCTTGCATAAGCCTTGTTTTTTGCTCGTTCTTTTCTCAAGTCTCGTTTTATTGCTTCGTATTTGAATTTTAATTGTTTTGCAGTTCGAATCTGTTAAAAAAATATTTCTTTTACCGATTTGTATATTGCATTATATATACTTGTATATTAATATAAATTATGCGAACTTGTACTTACTGTGCCTGTTGTGGAACTATTAAATAAATTTTCTATTTTTTTCCATGTCTCATCTTTTTGTCTCCACGTGCAACCATCAGTTTTTTTTGCTTTCAATTATATTTTTGTGTTCGTTGCTTAATCTTAATAATAACTGCTTATCGCAAGCACTAAAATTTGGACCCCTTTTATCTTTTTTATCCATTATAACACATTCAGTTTCACTGTCACAAAGTGCTTGATTTCATTTGTAGGTTATGTATATCACTAAAGTTCGAGCGATATAAAATAACCAATCGGGAACGCACAATTTTCTATCCGTTGGTACCACGTCAAAACGAGAGTAACTTACAATTACTTAACTAACAGTCGACAATGTAGTGGATAAACGGATAGGTGGATGACTAAAACACTGGCTGCATTCAGTAGACTCAACAGTTGAGACATCTGTTTCCGATGGATCGAACTCCGCTATGAATTTTCTACTGAATTCGTTTGTGATATCGCTACTAGTAAAGATGGCTACTTCTAATGTTTTACTTTAAAATAAAAGCGAATAAGGTTAAGTTTGACAGAGTAGTTTGACAGTAAAATTAAATTTGAAATACCTACGAATAAAATGAAATCATTGGCATTATTATTACTTGCGATGGATGACGGAATAACCATGCATAATTTTGAAAATATTATATTATCTTTAATAAAACCTAATAATAATTTTAATTTTAATAGACGTTTAATTCGTGCCCGAATAAAACGTCGTAATAAAAATTATTATGAGAAAATAATTCCTAGGTTTACGCACGATCAGTTTAAGGAAATGTTCAGAATGGATAGAATAACTTGTGAAGTAAGTAACAATGTACATGAAATAATTAATGAGTTGGCGAAGTTTGAATAATTTAATATCATATATGAGTTTACATATATGCTTAATTTCATAGAGCATAACTCATACAGCGTAGAAGGTTTGAGAAAGCTTTTAGAAGTTTTGAGAAAGGTTTCTAAAACATTTCAACTTTCTTAAACCTTCTGTTCTGTATGGTAATTGTATACTTCAAATGAATAATTAATCAATTATATACTTTTATGTTTATTTAACAATAGAATTTATTAAATGTCATTGCACAACATCTTGCAAGACATGCAAATGAGTACGCACCACTTCGAAAAAAAGTATTACTCACAATATAGTTATTGAGCAGACCAGTAAGTTTTCTAGCAGCAGGAGATAGATTTAATATACCAACAAGTTCAGCATATCATATTTTTAAAGAAATTGTTGATGTACTTGTCGACTTGATGCCAGAGTATATACAATGGCCAAATCATGTTTACAAAACCACATGTATAGATGTAAGTATAACATTATTAATATTAAAAAGTATTTACAACAAATTGGAAAAAGGGATAAAGTACCTTAAAGGAAGGAAAAAATTTAATCTAATCTTAATAAATTTTGGAACTTAATGTGCTTTGATTTATATTAATACAATGCGTTGTACCTTTTAGGTATTCGAGGAGAGATCATATGGATTTCCAGGAGTCATCGGAGCAATTGACGGATGTCATATTCCTTGTAAACAACCAAAAGATAATGCGCATGACTACTACAACAGGAAGGGTTTCCATTCCATTATATTACAAGGTATTATTTTTTTTAATATATAAAATGTACTAGCACATTTATTTAGTGAACCAGTTTGTGTTGAATTTACTATTTTTCATCACAGGAATTTGTGATCATCGTAGAAAGTTTATTGATTGCTTCATTGGCTTACCTGGAAGAATGCAC